GGGTTCAAGTTCTGATGGATTCTCTTCGGCTTCAGATTCCTTGTGGTTAAGACAGTATTCATTGAATATATCTTCTGTTGATGAGACCTCGTGTGAAATCTCAATCTCGTCTATGGATTGAATAATGGTTCTCTAGTGAGATTGTGTTCGATGATGAGAGAGCGCCAATTGCTTGTAAATTTCTTAAACCTTCTTCGATCTCCGAGTGAGTCTCCTCGCTTTTGGAAGAGATCGAGACCGAGCGATATTCAGTGAATTAACGCATTGATATGATTGGGTAAAGAAGAAAGGATCAAAGGCTTACATAGAAAAGTTTCCATTGATGGAAATTACTTTTGTATGAGCCCAGCAGTGCTTGATAGTGTTTGATGAAACCGAGTTCCAAGCATGTTTAGCCATCTTCATGGCTTGTAATATGTTGATTTTGTATATCTCGGCACCACACATGCCTTGCGAAAAGTTTCAAATCAATCGATTGATGAACCGTTTTCAATAATGAGCTTTGAATGTTCGGATTATCCCAGCATCGCATGGCTGGATGTGAGAGGTTAGATTGGGCTTGAACTTTTCAAGTCGGATATTCTTGAGAGATCCTTCTGGAACAACGTGTCCAGAGAAGTTATCGACCCATAGGATTATGTTTCTCTTCTCTACAGCTAGATTGCGGTCCCACTCATAAATCCACTCGGCAAAGATAGAGCTAGTCATCCAAGCCTTCGAGTTCCAGTGATAATCAAGGTTATGAGCCTCACGACCCCCTTTCCTCTTGAAAGGCTGTGGATGACGGGCGTGACCAATGAAAGTAAGATGTCGTTTGTCGGATCCATCAGCATTGGTGGTGACTACGATCGTGATCCGAGCTTTAACCCCTTTCACTCCAGATTTGCCCTCCTTTGCCAGACCTCAATCAGGTGGCATGCTAAAAGAACAAAACAATGATGATGAGGACATATGAAGAAAGGATGTTAAAAACAAAACTTACGCATAAAACAATGCAGTCTCATCCATATTGTATATGTCTGAATAATTAAATTCTCGATTGATATCTTGAACCCGTTTGATTTCATCTTTGACAGTCGCCATGTCAACTGACCCAGCTTCGCCATGGTTAGTGTAGAGCTGGATGTTGTGTCGAGTTTTGAATCGGGTGAGCCATCCATCACTCACCCGAAGCCATTGATCTTCGGGGAGGTTCTTTTTACGAGCAAAGTCCTTCCATTGAGCTTTGATTACCTCACCCGTAATGATGACTCCAGAAGCATAAGCCTCGTCAAGCCATTGTTCAAGCATTGTCTCAATGTCAGAATGCTTCACTGGTCGGACTCGAAGAGCTGTTTGTGAGTTGACTGGAGCAGTCTCGCGGATCTTGACCTCAGAGCCAATCCATCGGCTGAGTGTTGGTTGCTTCAAGTTGAGATCGGGTAAGTGTAAACTAAAGTGCTCAACTGTTTTCTTCTGGCTTTCTCCATTTGCATGGAACCAGTCGAGAATCTGGAGCTTCTGAGAAATCGTGGCCGAGCAGATTTTGGTTGACGTCCCTTTTGATTTCTTTGCACCTTTGAGCTTTGTTGGCTTCGAATTTGGCTGGGGTGAGTTTCTTTTTCTTTTATTTGATTGATTTTCTACTTTCTGATCAAGCTTGTGTTGTTCATAGCCCTCGGAAAGAACCGTGATGGCATCAAACTGGGAGCGACTGAGACATTGGCTGGAGTTCTCATCAAGGTTGAGGATTTCATTGATCACAAGTTGCTCGGTAATAAGATTTCCGTTCTGATCAAGCCATTCTTCATCTTCAGCAGAAAGAGTTTCACCTCGATTTTGGCGTTGAGTGAGATCGGAGATTTTCTTGTCGCAGCTGGCTTTCAATGATTTGAGACCAGTCTGAAGTTGATCAATCTCGAACTCTTCCGTAGCCATGCTTTCGGCTTCAATTTTTGAGAGAGGAAGATCAGAATTTGAAAGGTAAAGGATGTTTCCTACACGGATAGCATGTGGAGGATTCTCGGTTTCATATTGGACTGGATCAACTCCAAACCTTCTTGTTGATTTGTTGGGCATTGTTTGGAGTGTGAAGTATGGAAGCTTTGAAGGTTTGGTGGGATTGTGGAGACGTGCAGAATCAGGCAGAACCTGAGAGAAATCAAATTTTACATAGAATTTATGCACCTATATGGACTTATGGCGGCTCAAAATCTTATGCAGTATGCAGTTAAGGGATTTTATGCAGTTAACACTTGGTTTTGGTGCCGCCAAAAATGGCGGAAAAAATTCTTATGCACATAAAGAATTATGCACTTAAAGAGACATCAACTTAGAGAGAGTTGACTGTACAGTTGTATGCATTTGTGAAATGCCTTCAAAGAGATCACGAGGATCTACTTCGCGGGGTTCCAGTCAAATATGGACACAAGAATTATGCAAAAGTAGCTCAGCTACTTGGCTGGTCCAAGAAGACTCAAAATCGCAAGCTCGAAAAGAATGATGGTCGCCCACCGGACACCACAAATGCTTTGCTTGGTCCACCCAAAAAACTGGGACAGCCCAAAGGTTCCCTCAATGTCGATTGTAACCCGGTGACCACCTATCAAGGATTTCAAGCTTGTTACAAGCAAGGTCACAAAAACCGGTGTTGGCTCAATGCCATGACCGAGTGCATGTATGCAGTGCATACCACGTTTTGGTACAGCGGGTCAAGTGGTAAATCAAAACATATTTATACCAAGTTGATGAAGTTCTTTTCATCGCGGTCCACATGGGATATGAATCCGCAGGATGGCAGTATTAGGTCCATTTTATCCATTGGTCAAAATTCAATTCATGCAGCCATTCGCGCCTCCTGTAAGAAGCGACTACGAAGTCGAAGGGAAGATGGCATACACCATCGACTTTGAATCGATTGTAAAGCCCAGAGCACGTAAGATGCACTGGGCTAACAAACTTGTGACTTTGAAACAACTCAAATTGAACTTTTTGTAAGTCACACAAGGTTTTGCCAGAGCGCTCTGTGTGACTCACAGAGTGCTCTGATAGGGCCCTCACAGCAGTACGGAAAGCTCCAAAACATTGAAGAGCAGCTTCACAGCATATAATAGGTGCTTCACAGCAGTACAGAAAGCTCCAAAACATTGAAGAGCAGCTTCACAGCATGGTGCTTCACAGCAGTGCGGACAGCCTCAAAATATCATAGAGCACCTTCACAGCATGTAAAGGTGCTTCACAGCAGTGCGGACAGCTCCAAAACAAGAAGAGCAGCTTCACAGCATGTAAAGATGCTTCACAGCAGTGCGGACAGCCTCAAAATATCAGAGCACCTTCACAGCATGTAAAGATGCTTCACAGCAGTGCGGACAGCTCCAAACCATTGAAGAGCAGCTTCACAGCATGTAAAGATGCTTCACAGCAGTGCGGACAGCCTCAAACCATTATAGAGCAGCTTCACAGCAGATAAAAGGCGCTTCACAGCAGGGGGGAAAGCTTCAAAAGATTGAAGAGCAGCTTCACAGCATGTAAAGATGCTTCACAGCAGTGCGGACAGCCTCAAAATATCATAGAGCACCTTCACAGCATGTAAAGATGCTTCACAGCAGTGCGGACAGCTCCAAACCATTGAAGAGCAGCTTCACAGCATGTAAAGATGCTTCACAGCAGTGCGGACAGCCTCAAACCATTATAGAGCAGCTTCACAGCATATAACAGGTGCTTCACAGCACCTGTTATATATTGAAGAGCAGCTTCACAGCATGTAAAGATGATTCACAGCAGTGCGGACAGCCTCAAAATATTCTAGAGCACCTTCACAGCATATAAAGATGCTTCACAGCAGTGCGAAAAGCCTCAAACCATTATAGAGCAGCTTCACAGCATCTAACAGGTGCTTCACAGCAGTGTGGAAAGCTTCACAGCAGATAAAAGGCGCTTCATAAAATTGTAGAGCAAATAAAAGGTGCTTCAAAACATTGTAGAGCAGATTCACAGCGGCAAATACAAATCAATAACACCTTAATCAAGATCAATACCCTCATCTGAATCAACATCTTCATTCTTGTTGACCTCTTCCAAATCATCCTCTTCACCGTTGTCTTCATCAAGGTATTCATCAAGGTTGGCCAGATGTTGCTCGGCCAATTCTCCCTCATCCATAGGTGTGGCCTCTACAATCTCTGCTTGGGAATTTGCTTTCCACATCAACCTACTTGTCTCAACTAATCCTGCCCACCTTGTTGTCAACAAGGCTTCTTCTGGTTCCAACATCTGACTATATTCAGCAGTACCATCCAGGAGCTGAGGCATCCCACAGTTCCACGACATCCATAGGCGAGAGAAATCCTGACGGAGATGTCCAACAATACCACGTAAGATATTTTTACTTTCATTCAATCGATCTGCAGGTTTTGCCTTGGTAGATCCCACTAATCCTACCATCCATTTACTTGAATCATCATCTGGATTCTCATCTGAAACACCATATATACCATGAGCTTTATCATCCAATTGACAACTTTGCTTATCAACTACTCACCTTCTATCCTAGTCTCAAGCAACTGAATCTTTGTGTCCATTTCCAATGCCCACTTTATTGACTGTCTGCACTCACGCCCTACACGACGCAGCTCATCAAAAGCATGGATCTTATCACGATATGCCACAATGCCCTCTTTAGTCTTTTGATCCACAGCCCAGGCTTCCGTTGGATGGGTTAAGTCACCCATATCCCAGAAAGGATCAAATACTGGAAGTCCTTTGATGTCGTCAAAAGGAGGGCAATTAATAGGATGCGGAGATGGGAATGCTTCATTAAATTCCGTAACCAGTTTGTGGAATGTATCGTGTTTCTTCTTCAAAGCCGTTTGCTTGACTCTCAAATCTCGCTTTGTTTTTTGTTGAAGACGGGTTCCTTCATAGGGTTGTAATATCAGCAATGGAACTAAAATAATTGAAATGTGCATGCTATCTACACACCTTCTCTGCGATCACTGAGCTTTTGCATTTCAAACAAATCCACTTTGGCACCATACAATGTTGACTTTGCCACTCGGATTCGGATAAGTTTGGCACCTTTTGGAGCTATTCAATATTTTAATATTTATATCAGAGTAATACTTCCAAATCATCAGCAAAAGATACTTACTATCAGACGGCATATCCCTGTAATGATCTCCACCTAGGTTTTCAACTAATTGATCAATCTCACCCTGCAGTATTCTCAATCTCACCGGTAGGTTATTGATCTTATCATTTTCGAGTGGAGTCCTATCTCTTCTGTGCTTAGCCCGCAAAAACTCGAGTTCTTCCCTATATCATCCAAATCAAGGTTGACTATCAAAGATCCTTGGAAAAATTAAAAATAATCAAAAGTATGCTCAACTCGGACTCATGGTAGCTTTCTTCCAGGCTGGTCAGCTTGTTCACTTTTTCCTCCAAGCTTTGCAAATTATCGTGAACCATCACCTGCAACTGAGACTCCCGCTGTCTGTTCCATTGGGTCTCAAAATATTGGTCAGAGTAAGCAGGATTGGTCTTCAAGTGATTTAACTTTTGGTCGCTTTCAGAATATAGTTGATGGCTTGTTGACAAGCGTTTCAATAACCATTTAACTACACAAAAAGTCATTTCCTTTCATTTAGAATGTACTGTGTATTTCGGAATCAAAAAAAGTTTGACAAACCAGATGCAAATCTACGAGCCTCATTGTGATGAGTTGCACGCAGGTATAAAGCAACAAGCCTGTGAAGCTTCGTACAGTACCGCGAAGGGCCAACCAAGGATGACAGAGCGGACCATATCCTTTCGAGACCTTCACCATCTGACAGCCCCCAATCTACATTCAATCGTGGGTTGTACCTTAATTGACATGACCACTGGTGTACGTATGAGTGGAAGACACTTGTTCCAAACTTCATTTGATCAATAAACCGTTCAAAAAAGTTTCTCTACATATTAAGAAAATGTGTTTTCAGTGAATGAACCGTTTGGTCAGATAGAACAAAAGTGTACAACCTTTTTGATGCTCTTCTCTAGGTTACATCCAATGTCATATAGTACTCCAAACAAGGTGGAAGTCTGATCATTGTTGACAGTTCGCTTGAGAATCCAGTCAAGCATTGCAAGAGGGTATTCACCCCTGTGAGTAAAGAAGTAAGTGAGTATTCTAAAAATATACGAGATGTCTGAACCACACACCGTTCGCCTGTCTGTACAATATTGATTAACTTAAGCAGATGATCATGGCGGCATGCCATACCCATCAGACCTGTCTCATCAAACCCCTTCCAAGTCTGTCTACCGCGTACATCATTGGCTGCTGTGTGCTGGCTAGTACATGGGTCCTGAGGCAACAATAGAAAAATGTCAATAAACATATATTTATATGCATAGAAGTTTCAATTGTCTTACAATGACTTCAGGTTTCTGTTGACGATTGTTACGCCCTCGTTGCCCCAATTGCGACTCCCACACCTTCACAAGCTCTGGTGAAATGAAAAGAGAGGGTAAAAGTCCGCTCTCACCTCGCCAAGAAGCACTTGCAGCCATGTGTCGCCTGTGCTGGAAATTACCATCTAAGCATATGATATAGTTGGGCTCTTCTGCTCGCTTTCCTGGAACAACCGGTCCAAAGCAAGGTGGGCAGTTTGATGCAAGCTGATCAATTGGTGTTAAATGCAAAGCTTTCGTAACCATCTCTTCCTCAAGCCGAATCATCTCCCGATACGCATCAACAGCTGCTGAGAAGTTCTTTCGCCAGTCGCGAGTCTACCCTGCCAAAAAGAAGTTTTAGTATAGATAACAATTTTGAGATGAGAGAAATACTTACATTATCAGTACCTGGTACCAAAAAAAGAGCATTTGAGGCATCAAGGAACTCATTTAGCCCCTCAACAAAGGGAGCAAGACGAGCTGTGCAATGCTTCCACAGTATGTGATTAAAGCGTAGTAAACGGATCGAGAATGCAGTCCGTGGCCGATCTGCTGAACCACCCATGTAGCCTTTCATAACTAGCCGCACTACATCAGGAATGCATCGACAGGTCTGAAGTTTGATCTTCTGACGGCCTATGAACAAACATTGATATACACTTCAAATCAAGGATGACAATTGTCTGAGCTGAGTCAGGATACACTCACTTAAGATATCTATAGCATCCACTTCAACCTCAGACTTCTGCCAACCAGCACATCTGCACTGAGAATTCCAGTCAAAATTCCATAAATTCTGGTCGCCCCATTGTCGAGTCTTCTGAGCACAAGGTATGAACACCCTAAAGATTTGTGGAATGACATCCTGCCAGTCAGCTTCTTCACAAAGTGTTCGCTCTTGGTAAGTTACACCTCGATAGTAGTCAGATCGGTTGGCCGGTATCACTGTCAGATTATCTCCTTCTCCAGAGGCTGGGTTTGCCTCTTCAACCAGATGGAGCTCTTCATACACCTGTGGTGCAATAACTTCATCACCATTGTCACCATCGTCATCTTCATTACTATCGAGATCATGATGCTGCAGAGGTGGTTCAGAGGAAATTTGATCCTGAACAGGCTGATGTTCAGTCTTCAGAGAGCCAAGCCGGGCCTGAGCTGCTTCAGCTTTGCGAGTCTGCAGTTGGTTCCATCTCTGGCTTGCGCTTCCTTCGCCTGCTGGGTTATCACGTCGGGCTCGTTTCTTGGCTGGCTTGACTTCTTCTCCAAATAAAGCCATTGCATGAAAAGACTAGTTGTTATGATATAAATCTGTAGTTTATACGAATCAACTGGTTATGATTATTATTCAAATGATCTCAATCATGTTTTCCCTGGTTGGTAATTGATGAAAGTATTACAAATGAAATGACCTCATAATGAATGACTTCATCAAGGAGATTTCTGGTGAATTGTCCATACAAAAACTAGTGTCGGTGAATACTCTATTGCTAGTGCCAATCATTAAATCAGTGATTGATTGGTCACTCTAAATGGACTTCGCCGGTCAACCGTCAACATAGGCACACCAATCCAATAATGATTGATGTGACACTCTTGAATAGATAAGGTTGGAGCACTGTAAGTACAGGCCAGTCCAAGTGTCTAAAATGGACATAGGTGAGATATCTTTTACTTACTTTTGAGGAAGAACGAATAGATTCATGTAGAATAGTTATGACCAGGCACAACATTTAGTCCTTGTCAGTAACAAATCTGCTTTGTAGTAGTAGTAATGGATACTGAACCATTCAATATGTTAAGCAGTCACATATCATCTTACAATGTCTCGTATATTTGTATTCTCCAAAGCTATACATGTTGCAATACTTGCATATGTTGCTTGCTCACACTCAATGGTGAGAATTTATGAAACATCTCAAACACGTAGTCCAACACATCTTTCATGTTTGATGTTTGATCAGAAAACATCATCAAAGTGAAATTCTTGTTTAAATTTATGTCTGTTTTGTCAAAGGTTACTTCAAGACAAAATCCAAAAGTTTGAAGTGAAAGTTAGATTGATTTTGCCAGAAGAAGAGTAAGCAACCTTGGAAAGGAAAAGCATCCAGGTGGTTGAGGTTTCATATATTCACTTCCATATCACTTCTTTTCCAAAAACCCTCTGTAAATCATTGATCTTTTCCATCTTTTCTGAGTCCAATTCCAGAAACAGGGTCAATCATAATAGAACACCTCATGGTGTAAGAATCACAGTGTAAGATAACAAAATCAGCAGAGCATTCCAAATCAAGGTGGAAGGTAAGAAATGTAGCAAGTCTCTCAACTTAATCTTATTAAACTCGTATGGACATACAACATTTTTTAACTTCTATTGATTTGAATCATCAACAACCTATCTTAATGGTCTCTGCTTGAGTTCCTTCTTGTGAATGAGGCGTGCTGATTATGTTCTCTTTATAATTCACAATATATTTGAGGTAGATGATTATTTGGTCATCATTCTTGCTCGTAAGTGCAACTTGGCTGTCTTCAAACTTCTTTGTTGTCTCACTTCATATTTTCATTCTTCTTTTCCTGATATATTACCCTTGACAGTTGGATAGATGTGTTTTATCAACTTGACTGCTGTATACAAAAGTCTTTCAACTTTATACTTGTTTCTGAATCATCAGATAACTAAGAATTCAATGTTTTGTATGTCTGAGAAGGCTTTGTATCCTGAATAGGATATGTGATGATGTTAATTGAAGGGAACGGAAAGTAGATTTCATGGCATAAGATATTGATGTTTCCTCTGTTGGAAAGCCTTCTAGTAGGTATTTTCCATGCAGGTTCTTGATAAGGTGATACTACAGTTGGGAAAATTAGTTTCCATGTCAGTGGGGGTGGTGATGGGCAAGACCCTATATTCAATCTTGAAGTTCAGGTAGATGGTTCACCTTCTAATTGGTTCAATAATTGAAGCTTGGTGATTGATCCTTGTGTTTGACTGAGTCACTTGAGGAATTATAATGAGGCAAACATAGTGGAAAATCAAAATAAGTGCATGCATCTGATGCATCAGTATGAAACCCAGTTTAGTTTCTTGCCATGTACGCTATAGTAAGATGTGTCTTCAATAATTTCACCCTGAAGCAATAAAATCTGAAAAGATTTTATTGCTTCAAGACTTAGATACTTGTGAACCTCAGATTCTCTTCTATTCTTAACTAAATAGAAGTCTGAAGAACACCTGAACCTGTTAGTCAAGACAACAGGGAAGATCTTTGGTTGTATTATTGGTTACGGTCATATCCCTCAAGTATCCTATTGGTACTCTGGGATTCAATTTGATCTATCACCATAAGTAGAAGGCACACAACTTTGGAAACACATTTGATATTATATATTTATGAGACTTTTTTGATTTTGTTTACTAGAAGGTCACCTAGATAAAAATATGGGTATCTTTGGAATGAATTCAATCTGATTTGTATTACTTAGTCCATTTTGATTGGCACATTGAATAAATCAAACACAAAGGCTGTCTTTGTGAATCACTGGTCTTTTTTGACTATGAAGGAAATTATGAATTCTGATGCAATTAGAACACATTCCATTCTAGAAAAAACACATATTTGTAGGTTTGAATCATGTTATGACAATGGAATTAGATGACATGCTCATGATATATAAAATCTGTGGTAATGTGGTGTTCTTGTATACATCAAAAAGGGTGTTCATTAGAAGGAATTATTCTCATTATATCATAACTCTTTGTGCATCTCAATGACACATGCCATTTTGAGTAATTCAAATAGGACTCTTCATGTGAAGACATTAATCAACTACATATCAAATCAGATCAATTCACCACCCATTTGAATATGGTTCCCATCATGTGACATATTTAGGAGTAATTATTCTTGATATATAATTCACATCACATCACATCATTTGACCGCCCATTTGATCTTGGTTGCCAACATGTGACATATGTATACAAGTCTAGCATGAACATGTGAAATTTTGGGATAAACATGTGAAAGTTTGAAAATTTCAAATGGCAAGTCGTCTTTGAAGGTCTTTGGTGGATAGAACCTGATAAACCATTAGATTAACACTTTCAAACCCCTGCATGCTTCGGAGATTGAGTTCATCGCGACGCATAACACAGAAGCTAGAGGGGAGCGAATTTGTTGAATTCTTCAGAACTCTTTATTTGGTCTTTGGATTGATCTCAACTTCTTAATTGCTCTTTGAATGGTTCTAAAAGCCTCAATCGCCCTTCAAATCAGTCTCAAGATCTTAATCGCTCTTCACATCATTGCTCTTACCATTAATTACTTTACATCCTTCTCTACTTCATATTCAAGAGGCCTTCGTATCTACCAGATTAATCTTAACCTCGAACATATCGCTCCCCAAATTGTTCGATTCAAAGCACTCTAACGTAATTCAAATCGCTCTCATCGACTTGATTACTCTGAAACGCAAATCGAATTCTTCTCAACAACTTAATCGCTCTTCAAGAAATTCTGAACCTCTTAATTGAATCGTATGTTTCTTAACTTCATATTCAAATGAATCACAACTTCAACCTTGATCAATAGCTAATTAGGTCATTTGGATCATTCTGGATCCGATTAAACTTCCTGATAGGTCTTCTATACTTCTTAATTGCACATCATCCGGATCATTCTCAACTTCTTCTTCGACAGTTCTTTGGGTCATTTTCACTTTGGAATGTTCTCCTGTTCTCGACTTAATCTTCAATCAATCACACCAATTCCCTTTCAATTCGTCAAATGGGTCATAAATACAAATCACCAAGTACCCGTAAGGCCAGAGCGAATCATACGATCAATAAAAACATGCAGGATCCAGAAAGAGCTCGCCCTTTAATCAATGCACGAGCTGCAAGTAAAGCAGAATTGATCGAACAGTATGGCCTACCCTCAGATACAAAATTTTTATTTTTCAAGAAAGGCCGCTGGTTAAAAAGAGCTCGCTTCACAGTCCGATATGGGACAGTTGTATGCCTTGATGCTGATACATCTGAATTGCTACTGGTGGCAAGATTTGTTGAGAGAGACGAAGTTAATGAGGACCTTTTTGAGTCGTACAATCATTCTATTAGTACAATCTATCAGCATGCTAAGGCGCGTGGAATTATTAATATTAATGGTGCAAGTTATAAAGAGAAGCGTAGGATTCGCAAGCATGGAACCATGTATGCATTTGGCTTGAGACCTGGATATGAGAAAGGAGTAGCAGCAGGTGATCATAGTTCTCCAAAAATATCTTGTTTTATATACTGATGTAGGCTAACTAACATGTTTATGATAACAGGTACCTACACTTGGAATGAAGAAACAGCTGCTGATTATGCCAAGATGGAGGCTGATCTCAAACGCCAGGGAAATTTGCCTGAAATAGAAAACTTCATTGCCGAACGATTTTCTGGACTCTCATATAATGCCTTTCAATCAAATAGTACCTTAGCTTTGATAACTGATGCTCCATCTTGGGCGAATCAATCTTTCTATGTTTCACCAAATTCCCAAGTCTTCTCGTCCAATATAACAATGACCTGTGACGAATTTACCAACAAAAAGCATAAAGACCACGATGCTACCGACTATGCTTTTGGATTCTTTTGCCTCATTGATCGTGCAACTGGTGAACTTTATGAAAAAGGGTCAACAGTGCCTAGGGGTAATGTCATTGGTGCTCGATTTGTATTGGATGATTACAACCTGGAAGTAGACCTAGACTCATCTGACGGGGTGCTTGAACTCATATGGAATACACAGGTTAACCATCACACCAGTCCATCCAAAACTTACGATGCAAACAATCAAAGAGTAGCACCTGCTGATGCAGAAGTGACACGATTTGCTTGCTCATGCCAGATCTCTTTGTCCCTGGTTCAAAGGATTGCAAAGGTGTATGCATTACGAGATGGCATGAATGAAAAACAATGGAATGTTTATCGAGATACACAGCTACATGGTTATGGTGTTCAGGCCCATGCAAAAATGAAGGCACTTGCCATCAAGTTGGGAATTTGGGAAGATAATTTTTAACCGAGTTTTTTCATCTTTGATAATTTTTTTGTTTCCTTTTTTTGTGTGGGTCATGTTTTTTTTTCTACTCATCAATGTTGATATGTGTTATGCATTCACTTCTTCAATTGGATTCCTGTGAAGTTTCTCCTTCTTCGATGTGAAGCTTTAAGGTTCAGAAGTTTCTTACTTGACATATATTTCCCAATGTGACGTTTTGGCTTCTTAACTTGAAAGTTTCTACTTCACATACAATTCTTGATGTGAAGTAGAAACTTCTTAACTTGACAGGTTCACATCACAACAATAATCTTCATGATGGATGTGAAGTAGAGACTACAAATATTCTTGGATGTGAAGTAGAATATTATTTGATGTGAAGTAGAACATTCTTGGATGTGAAGTAGAATATTTTTTGATGTGAAGTATAATAAGCTGTGATGTGAAGTAGAAAAGTCTTTGATGTGAAGGTGACCCACAATGAGGTATGTCCTTCACAGCTACCTTCACAACAATTCAAGATTTGTGTTAACTTCTAGTTTCTACTTCACATACAATTCTTGATGTGAAGTAGAAACTTCTTAACTTGACAGGTTCACATCACAACAATAATCTTCATGATGGATGTGAAGTAGAGACTACAAATATTCTTTGATGTGAAGTAGAATATTATTTGATGTGAAGTAGAACATTCTTTGATGTGAAGTAGAATTTTTTTTGATGTGAAGTATAATAGGCTGTGATGTGAAGTAGAAAAGTCTTTGATGTGAAGGTGACCCACAATGAGGTATGTCCTTCACAGCTACCTTCACAACAATTCGAGATTTGTGGGGGGCTCCTTCATTTATTTTCAACTTCACAACCAACTTGGATTTGCACATTATCGATCTTTCATCATACAATGATGATTCAAGAGGAAGGCCTGGAACTTGGAGATTACATATATAATTTTGACTTCACATTGAACTTTGAAATACACATATTGTTGAATCTGTACTCAGACCACAATGAATCATGAAAAAATATTACCCACAAAAATTATACTTCACATAATTCGAAACATTTCAGATGTGAAGTCATCAAAAAAATAAAATAAACCAAAAACTGAGAATTCTGAAGTCATCAAAAAAATTAAAGAAACCAAAAACTGAGAATTCTTCACAATACTCATCATAAATACACAAATATGTTAATCAATCTATGAATGTTGGGGGTTTTTTAGGTTTGAAATTATCTTGAGAAGCTATCTTAACCTCTTCTTCCCTTTTCTCTTCGTCCCTTTTTGATTTGATTTCTTTGAAAACTGAATAATTAAAGTCGTACATACCATTCCATAGATTAGCAGAGGTCTCATGCAATGTTTTCCACTCAGGACATAGGACCGGTATAGGAACTTCCTTTGTGAAATCTAGTGTGAGTGAGATGTAGTGATCCTTGTTGACAAAGCATACAACAATTGGTTTGACTAGCTTTGGAGGTGGGCTGAAGAATGGAAAAGAAAACCTTGAGTAAGAATCGGGGGAGCTATAATAGATTACTGGCTGCTTGTAGGTATTGGCAATGAGAGGTAGGCAAGCCAACATTGGTAGCCACAATTCTTTTTCGGCTTGGTCTTCAGGATTGTTGAGGATGGTGAGAATTTTTTCAACATTGTAACCAATGGAGAAATCCGGCATATTCTTTTCATACCAAGGATATCTTGCTAAAAGTTCTTGTTTCAACTCATCTCGTACTTTTATAGAATCTCTTTTTGAGCGCCCCATGGAGACTGCAATCGATGAGAATGAACATAAGCCATTCCGTTGAACATCTGTTGGCTTGATTAGGAAAGGATATAGATATGAAGGGATATCTTTAATGTATTTGAAAGCCTGGAATGAGGTAGGTAGGCAGAGCGTTAGCAAGCATAAAAAAGAATTGGCATGACAACATGCGTACATGGTGTACTGTATCGAAATTTCCTGTGTCTGCAACATCTTCGGATTTTTCTGATGTTGAATCATCATCGGGTATTTCTGAATCTGATTCCTCATCAGATTCGTCCGAAGCTGATGAAAGCTCTGATGATGATGAACCAGAAGACTAAAGCAATACTTGCATTTAGTATAATGAATGATATGTAAGGTGACAGAGAAACAAGAACGTACATTCAAATCTTTATCATTCTTGACATCAACAATTCTCGAAGTAACAGGCTGAATGGTGACAGATTCACAAATCGGCTTAGCTTTGTGTGAGATGCAAGATGCACTTGGCAAACTGTGTGGTGCTTCTGCTGGTCGATTTGAGCCAGACGTGGCCCTTGTAAGTCTTCTTGTTGAAGGAACCAATCGATTTTTTTGAGTCGTCTCTTCTTCTTGGTGAAGACGAGAAGAGGATCTGAGTGATAAGGTGGATACTTTGGTGATCTTTGGGTTTTTAAGCCCTTGAGAAACATTGGAACGCAGAATTTTCCTGCTAGTGTTAGCCAAGGAAGATCGATTGAGTGGTTTGTCAGAGAGAGAAGAGGAATGGTGTGCAAGGTTGTTATCTTCTTTCTGTTTGGTTACAATAGATACATCTTTGTCAGTCCGTCCTTTCTAAAGTTACCAAAGAGAAATGATGGTTAGTTTGATTTGGTGAAGTGAAGAGAAATGAAAAAAGCGAACTTTTGGTGTCAATGACATAATAATATTTTTGCATACTGAAGTTTCAGGAGATGAAAGTCCTGAGGTAGGGGGTGAAGCTGATCTTGAACAAACCAAGTGATTTACACCATTAGTATTCGAGCGCAGTGCATTTTTTGAAGATGGACATCGAGTAAGGTGATTTTGAAGAGTGTTTGAATCATCTTTGGGAAAGGAATCGGATCCTGGAGTTTCACTGATGGTCTGTTCGTCTTTGTTTTCTTCAGTTTGTTTCAGTTTATGTTGGATTGTATGTGTTATCTCAACTTGAGGGGTCAGATCTTCATTTTTTTCATATTGGGAAGCATTGAAAGTCGATTGCTTGACTGAAGATTGAGCTAGGAGAGAGGGATCAATCGTCTTTGATTTGCTGAGTTGTCGATCCAAGAGCATTGTGATATCAGGCATTGGAGAGTCACATGATTTCATTGATTTATTTAGATCTACATCCGGCTGAGATTCATATTGAGTGGTATTCAGATTTCCACCACTTCCTGAAAACATTTGATTGTATTCGGCTTTAGTTGTTGGTGTGAGATGACCCGAAGGAGATTCACTGTTGGCTTTGTTCAACGCTTCAGAGCCAGGTATGGTGAGAAACTTGTTGGTTAGATTATTCATTTCAGCAAGTGTTTGATGTTCATTTTCATCATTAAGATTGATACCAGGAAAATCAGCAGCTTTTGTCGAGGTGTCAGCACCAGGTATGTTCTTCAACTCGGTGGTTAGATTGTTCGTCTTAGCAAGTGATTCAATATCAATATGAGGAACTTTGACTGGTTTGTTGAATGTTTGATCGGCTGAATTCCTCTTGCGTTTTTTTTTGTTCTTGACAATCAATTCAGTAGTTGACAAAGCCTTTTTAAAAGCTTGAAGGAGGTAATCCTGAGTAACATCATCTAATTTTCTCATTCGCCGGAATAAGCCTGTGTATTCTTCTTTAAGGTGTGTACTGAGGTTCAAAGGAAGTGAAAATGAATTTCCAGACCACGATAAATCTTCAGACCATTCAGAAACAAAATTAAGGTAAGCCACTTCCTCTTCATCTTCTACAAATTCTTCTGATTTAAAGTTAGGCTTTGATCGTATTTTCAGTTCAAGAGTGCTAGCTGGATGATCATGTCGAGGTTCCACAACAGTGAGTGTCCAGAGATCTTTCTTGGTCGGTTGTTTCGCCACTAGTTTGAAAGGACAGGTACCCTTGCTCCATGGCTGACGGGTTTTTCCTTTGGAACACTTGAAATCAATCTGTACCTGTCGAGTCTGACCTAGAATCGAGATCTTGTAACCATGTTGCAATGAATTTGAGTTGATATGATCTATTAACTTATTTTTGTCTTGAAAAACACCTGGTGGTGGTGTTGGCAAAGTGTAATACATAATTTGAGGTTGATCATCTTGATGATCATCATTAGGACCTTCTTCATCAGCATCTTCATCAGGAGCATTGTCTTCGTGAGGGTTGGCTGTAACTAGAGGTTGATTATTGGTTGGAGGAACTGTGGCTAGAAGTTCTTCATCGGTAGGAGGAGGACCATCACTGATCGAAACAATAGGATTGGTGATTTGAGATTCGATTGGATTGCTGTCTTGAGGTTTGACTGTAAGGAGAGGTTGATCATCCTGTGAAGGAGGACAATGGTTAATCGATCCAATAGGGCTGGTTATTTGGAATTCAATCGGTTCGGTAGTATTGGGTGTGGATGTAGAATGATTCGTTTTCTTGGAGCAAGGTAGAGCTTTGCGTTTAGACCGTCGGGGAGGCATTCTTGCTGTGAAGACAGATGTGAAGATATTGATTTGATTTAGAGAGGTGGTGATTTGATGTGAAGCTGATGAATGATGTGATGAAGCATGTGAAGTATGAAAGCTGTGCAGACTCGGGGAAGAAGAAAGGAAGGTAAAATCTGTGATTCCTGAGTGACATGTAATCACATGCAATACAGAACAATCTGTGAAATGGTTATGTAGTGTTTCAAAGCTTTTCGCACTGCTGTGAACTCCACAAATCCTGCTGTGAAGCTGGTCTTCCACTGTTTTAGATATTTTCGCACTGCTGTGAAGCCCACTGCCTGCTGTGAAGCTGGTCTGTAGTGCTCACACGATTTTTGACATGCTGTGAAGCCCTCATGCTCTGATGTGAAGCTGGTCTCAACTGTTTTACATATTTCCAAACTGCTGTGAAGCTGTTCTAGGGTGCTTAGGAGCTTGTTGACCTGCTGTGAAGCCCACTGCCTGCTGTGAAGCTGGTCTGTAGTGCTCACAAGATATTTGACATGCTGTGAAGCCCTCACGCTCTGATGTGAAGCTGGTCTCCACTGTTTTACATATTTCCAAACTGCTGTGAAGCCTGTGTTTCCTGCTGTGAAGATGGTATGCATTGTTTTAAAGCTTTTTGCACTGCTGTGAAGCCTCAAATTTCTGCTGGGAAGCTAGTCTGGTACTTACAAGCTTGTTGGGCTGCTGTGAAGCCCACATGTTCCAATGTGTAGTCACTCTACACTGTTTGAGATTTTTGAAACTGCTGTGAGGCCAATGTTTGCTGCTGTGAAGCTGCTATACACACACATGTATATATATATATATATATATACATATATATATACATGGCCGCGTCAATTGCTGAACCATATGTACACATGGCCGGGTCAGTTCCTGGCCACGTGTAGGTGTTACCAAATGATCAAGCTTACATTAAGGCTATGCTCCTCAGGATCCTCTGACAAGAAAAGAAACTACAGAACCACAATTCTCCATCCACATCCACAACATCACATTTCTGCATCAATGCCTTTCACACGCTCAAATCCCCATTCGACACGAGGGTCAAATCAAAATCCATCCTCTACCAAGGAAACTCAACATAACTCAAAAGCCAAGCAACAATCTACTAAAGCAACTGCTACGAAATCTAAAGCAACCTCTAGGAAATCTAAAGCAACCTCTAAGAAACTTAAAGCTACTCCCAAGACAATCAAAGCAACTTCTAAGAAATCTCAAAAGCCTCAATCTCAACACCCCCAGTCTGATGACGACTTTGATACTGAGGATGAATATGATGAAGAGCAAGATGATGCTTATTCACTCAAATCAGATCACTCTATAATCCAACCTCTTGCGCAACAACAGATTTTGGACCAAAATAGAGTCAGAGATAGATCAGCACAGAACAATCAAAATGCTTCCACCAAGAAAACCATATTCCGTTCTCAATTTCCTGGATTTGAGATGGATAATTACGAGGATTTTTTGGACGATTGGACAGTGGATGAGCTTCGGGAAAACATTGCAAAGCAGGGTTCGCGGTCAAGTAAGGCACCAAAGGATGTCAAATCTCTAGTGAAGACCATTCGTTTAGAATATGAGAAGCGCATGTTGATGGCTGCTTTGATGGGTGGAGTGCCCGAAGTAGTTGTTTGGAACATTGTGTAAGTAACTTCTCCCTCCTATTACTTCTTTTTTTGGATGTCTTTGATTGTTTCTCACATACATTTGTGTGTTCTATGGTCTTCTTTCTTGATTTACATTAGTGGTGAGGGCCCAAAGAAGGGAAAAGCAAATCCCTGGATGCGTTTTAAATCATTTTGCCCACTTGCACTGGCTGAACAAAGTAAGTTCATTGTAAAAACCTTGATCAAACCATCAAATTTCCAATCATGCCATACTGATGAAAGCAATTTTTCCATTCTCAAAACCTTGCCTGGATTTAGTGCCTTCTCGTGATGATAAAAAAGCTTGGAGTGCTTACAATACAAAGCTTTCTGATATCTGGAATGGTTTCACCGTGGACCAAAGGGACGTCTTTAAAGATCCCCTCTTTTTATCATTGTCAAATCTCCCCGATCTTTTGGATGTACCACTTGAAAATGAAGATGGAGCTGAATTGGGCCAAGATGCAACATCAGTTGCACCTGCGGTTCACAAACTGACGGAAGACGAGCGCCTCAAATATCAACCTTTATTTGACGACCTTGTTGATGTTGAAAAACTTCAATTATCTCGTGGAAAACCAGACACTTCAAAGTCAATAGCCACTCTTCAACAACGGTCCTTGTCGGAATTAAAGAAGGCACATCACACAGTAAGTGTGTCTCTTTGTGATATGAAACCTCATATAACCTTCAGGGGCTTACATTTCACTGCTTCTCACTCAGTTTGTGGTAGTCTGTCAACAATATCAAATTACCTACTACTTAGCGGCGGTCAGCTGTGGGAGTATTGAAGGGTGGTCGCAAGTATACTCAAACAACACACTCTTTGCACAGTGGGCTTTGAACGATGCCCAGGTCCCGAGTACACTACGATCATACGTTCATGGAATATCTGCGGCAAAGATTGTTGAAAGTGGCAAGATGCAACAACCAAGTGATGAACGAAAGAGTCGCTTAGGGAAGGAACTCAATGCCCTAGTTGGTAAGACTTCCTTAATAATTAGTGTCTTTGTTTTTTTCTACATTGTCTTTATGATTTAGCCACCGCTGTGAAGCCTATCTACATTATTTGAAAGTGTATCACACCGCTGTGAATCTGAGATTTTCTGGTGGAAATTTTAACTTGAATTATAACTGAAATTGAGCTGATTGTTAATATTCTCAATCTTAGGCAATCTGTTGTCGGGCAAGGACAAGATCTTTCCAAAGAAGGCCCATCCAGAAGCCGAGATCTTGGAAAAGGGGTGGCCAATACAGATCTTACAAAAACCTGGAAGTCTCCTATCTAAAGCCGAACTCGAAATAGGCCATCGAGATGCAAGAGATTCGAGTGTGAAGCGCTGGCTTGACGACATTGAAAATGAACGATTTGTCATTGAAATGATTCCAGATTTCGATTCTGTCAACCCTCCACGTCCAAAAAAGCGCCAAAACCGTAAGGTTGTCACTCAGCCGCAAAGATTGAATTCATCCTCTGGAGACGAGTCAGAAAGCGATTTCACAGTATCAATCAATCCTCAACGTCCAAAAAAGCACCGAAACCATCAGGTCCTCACTCAGTCTCAAAGATTGAATGTACATACCTCATCCTGTCACAACAATTTAGACAATTCAGGAAGAAATGTCAGAAGTGATCATGAGCAAACTCGGGAATCTATCTTAAAAGTAATTCGGGCTCGCAGAGCTTTTCAAAGAGTTGACTCTGACGCTGACTTAGACTGTCAAATCCACGACAACAATATCAACAACGATAGTCAGCCTACAAATACACAAATTACCAATGTTTCATCTCATGATCAAGCCACTCAGATTAATCAAACAAAGGAACTTCACACAGGGTCACAGGTAAAGAATAATCTTAAGCGTAAGCTCAAGGCTTTGGCTAATGGTGATCAAACTATTCAAGACAAAAAGAGAAAGAAAAAGCAACACCAGTCAGAAAATTTCAACTGAACGTGATTGTAGGATTCATGATGTCTTTGGTACTTTTGGTATTGGATGTCATTTTTGCTTGCTTTTATCTTGAATTGGGATTAGATCATTGAGTATAATATAATTGTATTCACATATGTCAATTCAATGAGGTTTTAGATTCTTGGCTTGTGTTTGTTTCCTAAAGGAAGGTAAAATCTGGGTTTCCTCAGTGAGATGTAATCACGTGCAATACAAAACAATCTTTGAAGCTGGTCTGTAGTGCTTACAAGATTTTTGAACTGCTGTGAAGCCCACGTGCTCTGATGTGAAGCTGTTCTGCACTGTTTTGAATGTTTGCTCACTGCTGTGAAGCCACATTTCTTGCTGTGAAGCTGGTCTATGGTGGTTACAAGATTTTTGAACTGCTGTGAAGCCCACGTGCTCTGATGTGAAGCTGTTCTCCACTGTTTTGAATGTTTCCGCAAGCTGGTGTGCAGTGTGTTGAAGCTGTTTGCACTGATCTGCTGTGAAGTGCCTTTTATTTGCTGTGAAGCACCTTTTATATGCTGTGAAGCAGCTCTATGATGGTTTGAGGCCTTCCGCACTGCTGTGAAGCACCTTTTATATGCTGTGAAGCTGCTCTGAAATTTTTTGAAGCTCTGTGCACTGCTGTGAAGCACCTGTTATATGCTGTGAAGCGGCTCTATGATGGTTTGAAGCTTTCCGCACTGCTGTGAAGCACCTTGTATATGCTGTGAAGCAGCTCTATGATGGTTTGAAGCTTTCCGCACTGCTGTGAAGCACCTTGTATATGCTGTGAAGCAGCTCTATAATTTTTTGAAGCTCTGTGCACTGCTGTGAAGCACCTGTTATATGCTGTGAAGCAGCTCTATGATGGTTTGAAGCTTTCCGCCCTGCTGTGAAGCACCTTGTATATGCTGTGAAGCAGCTCTATAAACTTTTGAAGCTCTGTGCACTGCTGTGAAGCACCTGTTATATGCTGTGAAGCAGCTCTATGATGGTTTGAAGCTTTCCGCACTGCTGTGAAGCACCTTGTATATGCTGTGAAGCAGCTCTATAATTTTTTGAAGCTCTGTGCACTGCTGTGAAGCACCTGTTATATGCTGTGAAGCAGCTCTATGATGGTTTGAGGCTTTCCGCACTGCTGTGAAGCACCTTGTATATGCTGTGAAGCAGCTCTATGATGGTTTGAGGCTTTCCGCACTGCTGTGAAGCACATTTCATATGCTGTGAAGCTGCTCTATGATGGTTTGAAGCTCTCCGCACTGCTGTGAAGCACATTTCATATGCTGTGAAGCTGCTCTATGATGGTTTGAAGCTCTCCGCACTGCTGTGGGAGCCCTATCAGAGCGCTCTGGAGTCACCCAGAGGGCTCTGGCAACACCTTGTGTCAATAACACCATGAATAAGATTAAAAAATAAATTTCTTCTTTGATGAGACATGCATAGAAATAGCATCTACACTCAAAAAAAGTTCCATCTGAGTTCTTTCAATTTGACAAATCAGTGGCTCAGTGTATCATATGTGCTCTGGGCTTTAGGTCCGACTCGAGGTCGATGGTGCGCGTCACTTCACCATCGACTACGTAGTCGCTTGGTGTAGGCGCCACAGGTGCCCCATGTAATTGTTCTAATTACATGGTCCTTTATTGTTCTAATCACACTGTACTTGAGCAATTTACTTGTAAGCTAAACATTGCAAGTAAATGGCAGTTTATATGTTACATTATAGGACCCTTTATTGTTCTAATCACATTGTACTTGAGCAAATTACAAGGCAATTTGTAGATTACCACCAGTCACTCACTTATTGAATGTAGTAACACTGGTGGTGACTAATTCCAGGGAGCACAAGTGTTCAAGCAAGTAGTCACTTGGGAATATAATCACTCATAAGTAATTATTCTAACTTTGCAAGGCACTTTATATGTTGCATTATAGGACCCTTTGTTGTTCTAATCACATTGTACTTGAGCAAATTACAAGGGAATTTGTAGATTACCACCAGTCACTCACTTATTGAATGTAGTAACACTGGGGGTGACTAATTCCAGTGAGCACAAGTGTTCAAGCAAGTAGTCACTTGGGAATATAATCACTCATAAGTAATTATTCTAACTTTGCAAGGCACTTTATATGTTGCATTATAGGACCCTTTGTTGTTCTAATCACATTGTACTTGAGCAATTTACAACGTAAATTGTTGATTACCACCTGTCACTCACTTAGAGCACAAGTCTTCAAGCAAGTAGTCACTTGGGAATATAATCACTCATAAGGAATTATTCTAAATACCTTATGAGTTATTATAATGGTAAGTCACTGGACTGGTGGTGACTCACCCCATGTAATTGTTCTGATGACATGGTACTTTATTGTGCTAATCACATTGAACTTGAGCAATGTGATTATAAGCTAAGCTTTGCAAGGCAGTTTATATGTTGCATTATAGGACCAAAAAGAAGTTGATTCATAGAATCAAAGGTGATTTTTGGGTTCACCATTGTTCATTGTATGTCCAATGGTGAGGCATTTTTGGGTTCACCATTGTTCATACAATGGAAACATTTTTGATTGTATGACCAATAGTGAGGCCAAATGATTGTGGGTAATGGTCAGTCACTTGTGGTGACTAACCCCAGTGATCACCAGACATGGGAACATAATGACTCATATGTTAATTGTCATATGTTAATTGTTATAATTGGGAATATAATTACTCAGATGTTGATTCTTTTAATTAACTTATGAGTAATTATATTCCATAATTGGGAATATAATTACTCAGATGTTGATTCTTTTAATTAACTTATGAGTAATTATATTCCATAATTGGGAATATAATTACTCAGATGTTGATTCTTTTAATTAACTTATGAGTAATTATATTCCCAAGTGACTACTTGATTGATGGCTGGTGCTTGATTACAAGTTAAATGTTCTAATTACATGGTGCTTTAGATAATGGTGAGGCCAAATGATTGTGGGTAATGGTCAGTCACTTGTGGTGACTAACCACAGTGATCACCAGACATCAAGCAAGTAGTCACTTGGGAATATAATCACTCATATGTTAATTGTCATATGTTAATTGTTATAATTGGGAATAGAATGACTCAGATGTTGATTGTCATATTTCAATTGTTATAATTGGGAATAGAATGACTCAGATGTTGATTGTCATATTTCAATTGTTATAATTGGGAATATAATGACTCAGATGTTGATTGTCATATTTCAATTGTTATAATTGGGAATATAATGACTCAGATGTTGATTGTCATATGTCAATTGTTATAATTGGGAATATAATTACTCAGATGTTGATTCTTTTAATTAACTTATGAGTAATTATATTCCCAAGTGACTACTTGATTGATGGCTGGTGCTTAATTCCAAGTTAAATGTTCTAATTACATGGTGCTTTAGTGTTATGATTCAGGACATGTACAACGAGTGACAGTTAAGGATACATTTCACAGATAACACTTGTACTTCAGATGAGGTGGCGATGAGCCCGTACTGTTCCTCATCCGACAATCTAGTTATATGAAGAGGAAGATCTATGCAAATACCTCACAACCTTGTCAAACCCCTGATACCAACCTTAACATTTAGATACCTCTAATAACATTGTACTTGATATTAGAAAGCTCAATGTCGTCAGTGGTCCCTGAATATGTTACAACTAACACAACATATGGTTGCTTTTCAGTGATGGATGACCCAACCACCTAGTAAAACATTATTACAACAAACAACTTCACCAGGATGGATGTCTATTGCCAAACATACATGTAAGGAATGTTATAAAATCCCAACAAACCAACTTGTGGTCTATTGAATATCCGTCACCCTGGTTAAAACACTAGTTATATGGTTCTAATTGCAGCATATTGGTCAAATGTACCATCAAATAGAGGCATATATTGATAGTTATATGGTTTCAATTGCAGCATATTGTTGGTCAAATGTACCAGGTTTGCTTTTATAACATAAAATGTGAACCTTCCATTACTGTGAATTGAAATGTATCATAATAATTGGCACATAGATTGAACAAATATTACTATATTTGTTCAATCAAATATAGTGATATTTGGCATTTTTGTTTATTTTATAAGGTCTGATGTGACCATGCCACTACAGTGACTTGAATTGAAGCAGAATATTTGGTGCAACCCTTTCAGATGAAAGCCAATTTTGGTGTATAAGAATATTATGCCTAACTAACTTTGCCCATGATAATTTGACCACGTGTGTCTACTGCATGTAGTTGTGGATCAAGAAAACCTTACTATGTCATACCCAAATGTGAATTACTTTCACCCATAGGTGAAATGCTTTCACCCAAATGTGAAACAAAATACATATGGGTGAAAGAAAATCTCGTATATGTGATCAAACATTCATCTGAAATATAATCATGTATATATTTGACATTAAAAATATCTAAGTATCCATGTGATACTTAGCCACCCATATCGTAATATGACATTTATATTTTGGAAATCAATCAAGTATTTGATTGATTCCAGTTGAAGAAAAGACATGGAATCAAACAAAAACAATTTGGTATCATATGTTGTAATCATGAAAGTGAAATGGATGACATGAAACCAATAAGCCATTTGAAGTCGGCCAGTTGAAAAGGTGACATTAAATCAAACAAAACAGGTACGGAAACTACTATCTAATGTAAAAACAATCAATGATGAATGTAGAGAAGAATAGGAAGGAAACCAGTATAAAATGTAACATCTATCACATGGCATTCTTCTTGGATTTCTTACTTTTGGGAAGTTTAACAGGCTTGATGGGAACCTTTGATAACTTATTAACAATTTCTTGCTCATAACACTTCACCACTTTTCGTTTGTAGATTGCCCATTCATCATCGGTTTTACCAACCTTCAATTTCAGTAAACCATCGATTCGTCCAAGGAGAGCGGCATTGATCTGCAATGAGCAACCGAATCGGGTGATGGGTGAATCCTTCGGTTTGATAGACTGCCAGCCCTCGTCGTAAGTTGTTGAGGCGGAAGTGTGATGGAGTTCATCACTTGCCCAACAACTCTCAACAACGCCGTCACATGCATCCAGACATAGTTCAACGTGATATTGATCCAAAATGAAATAACAACCCACAATATCACCTAAGTAATCCGAAAGGTCAACCCAGTGAAGCTCGCCAGTTTCGCGACTTATACGGGCAAATAGCCCATAAGCATATGGGCTTGCATCGAAGTCGGGATGAGGATTATTGTGGAAACCGTCTTGGGTGACCACGATGTTGGACGCAATTACATTTGCATTCGGAGAATCACACCAAGCTTTATCGGAGAAAGATGGAATGGAGAATTCTAAAGCCAGGTCTCGGTTTGATTGAAAAGCGCGCATGCATAAAGTAGACATCCACTCAGCCAGAGTGTCATTTATGATGGCCATGTCGTCCATCCTCAATTCGTCCTCGAGGATAGCTTGCTTACTTCGACCTGTCTTTGCACTGAGTGCAGTTACCCCTATGAGGCACACCAATATAGTTAATTGGTAAGTATGTGGATTGTGATGTTGCGAGATATCCAATGGTTGGCTTACCCATCGTGCGCCCTTTGTCTGAGGCACCCCTGAAGCCTGCGGAATACATTTCGCCTGGGTTTTCTACCCCCTTCATTGCATGATTGATTTTGACCGTTGATCTAGCCAGTGTATGTTTGTAGACCATTTTGATGGTGAATTTCATCGATTTCATATGGTCGTCATCCATAGCAGAAAAAGGAGTAAATCGAATTACTTGAAGCACCTTCCAAGTATCGGCGTCCAAGATGACACTGTTGTGGTGTGAAATTCGTAAGCGAGGCGTTTGTGGGAGATTACCCATACTGTATTTCTTCAAGAAATACATTCGACAATCACTGGGTAACCCGTAGGCTTCGGTGACTTCTTTGCGAAGAGATTCGAAATCGCTTGATCGTCTCGCGTCTCGATTCAAATGATTGGGAGGGCCTGGATTAGGGCGCGGGCGATTTCGTGCATTGCTTTGGCGTTTGCTGTTCTTGCGGCTGCTTGAGGAACGTTTCTTGCTCATGGTCGTAGCGAACTAAAAAGCAAACAGGAAATGCAATAGTACATGTGAGATGTGAAAAAATGGGCATATCAGATGGAGACCTGCTCTTGTGCCCATGGAATGGAGAAGAGGTTTGCGTCGGAGACTTCGGGTGTGTTTTGTCCCTCATTAGGAAACCACTCCCAGATATCTCCAACCACTATCTCTTCCCCAGTACACCAGCAACCAGGAAAAGGCCATGTCCAGAGACAATAATACAGGGGTATGTAAAATTTTCACTTACGTACTTGGGTGAATCGAGGAGGGTTGAAGGGAGTATGGGAGGTTTTTTTCTGGAGACACCGGTTGCAGGGGATAAGCTCGATGGACAGATCTAGTAAGGAAATTGGACAATGCGGCGTAGGGATAAATGATGCACTTTGGAGAAAGTAAGTCGCACAAAAAGAAGCAATCAAGTTAATATTTGAAAGTGTCAAACGTTTGAAAAACGTAAACGTTTGGACTTCCGAAGATGTTTTAACGATAGAAGTGAAAGAACTGAAAAGGGGATGTCACTGACCTTGATGGAAATTGAAACTAGGTATGTGTAGACATTGTAGAACGGTGAGTGAGGAGTGAGTTAGCCGATTGATAACAAATTGACAAAGTTAACAACATACGTTGTTAACGACCTCGGTGGTGAACGAAACTACGTATGGAGGTTATAGAAAGGTGGGAAGTGGTCTAAGAAAGGTGGGAACTCGGTTTATAAGGTGTATCATTTGGATATTGAAGGAACCCGGAGAAGTGACATGCCTTGGTAGTGCGAATGAGATTCGCGATTGACATGAAGGGTGTAACTGGTTTCACTTGTTGATGTGAAACCAGTTACATTACAGGACCCCTGTGACAGACGATAAAGCAGCTGAAGCTCGGCCCTTTTCATCTGAAATGGGCCAATAGGACCCTGACCCTGCCTCGTCCGCCTCGGCAGCAATGCCCTTATTCGTTGATATGTGTCCTCATTGAATCTTTCCTAGACTGGCGAAACGCGAGGCTACATAGATACCCCAATGAGGATGCAGAGTGTTCATTACGATACGAACATCGAAGTTCAACTCGGACGCAAACGTTGGTTCAATCCCAAATCAGAATGATTGAACTGTGGACAACATGGTTTCGAAATAAGCCATGTTTGTCGTTTTGTCCCCTCGAAATTGTGTCAGCCACGGGTTTAGCGCCCTTTATTCCCAGCAAGTCTGAGCTGATGATGTAAACTGGGCGAATTCCTCTTCATCAAATGCCATCCGTTGATGGTCGGCGGTAGAGGTTCGGGGGATATGTCTTACACAGCGTCATGAGCCTCAGAGCCAATGTCGACATTGTCTCTGGCACGTGGCTTGATGTTTGCAAAGAGAAGACATTATCCAAATCACATTTGGATATTGTGTAACTTCACACGGCTTGTACATCCATTGTCCAGCTTCAAGGTTGATGACAAAGTGTAATATTTTATTATTAATTGAATTAACAAGAGGAAACTATCATATCTTCCACAAAAGATGGAAATTAAATGTGTATCTACTAGCAAAAGTAAAGAATGATATCATTGTGAGATGTTCATTGGGCTGAAAGGGATTTGTTGACGCGGATAACAGTGTAGCGACGGGCCAAAATATCGTCGAGCCATACCCGCATCAAATGCTGATTGTTCATGATAGCTGCAGGTCCGGCTGAAATCATCTCAGCCGTGACCTTGGAATCGCTAGTCTGATGAACCACCAGTCGGATTTCATTCGGAAAGGTGATCCGCTCTAGTAGGACATTGCATTGTGGCTTCTTAGGATGGATGTGGACTCTTTCCTTGATGAGTTTTGGTTTCACACCTTCGAGGTGTTTGGCTAGGATAGACAATACATGAATCAACTTGGTGACAAGGTGAGAGATTGGTGATAGCTTACAGACCAGCCCATTCAAGGCAGACGTGAAGTCTTTCCGCAGCTGGTCATTGCCACTCAGTCCGACCTGCTTGGCATTTTCGGCAGACTGATTGCGTCTGGTGGCAAAGCGGTCAAAACGTTCGAGAAGGTGATTGCGAGCGGAGAACGATGTCAGGTAAATAGGATCAGAGCTAAACTCTTTAGACCACCCAGCCGATGGATTGGTGGTGGTTGGATTCCATGACGCAGCCAGGAGATGGTAGTGTATACCATAGCTCTTATGGGCCGCTTGAAGCTGAATTGTATCATAAACTTTAGTTAGTAACTTGCCATCAAAGAGGGTAAATGATATTGGGGCGTACGGAGGAGTGTATCAACTCGATTTGGCGAATTCCTTGTTCTTGGTACCTCTTGCTTTGATCAGGGTGACGACTCAAAGCAAGATGTGCTTTGACCTTCTTGATGTTAACAAGACGTTCAAAGGCGGGGAGATACACCTGCTCTTTGACAGATAATTTATCATGATCATCGAGGTCGACTGATTCATTGGAAATGACAAGTGCAATTCGATTGAAAAGTTCGGGTGCGAAAACCTTCCCTTCGTCAGTGTTCTTGATTTGTCGCCATATAGCAGTGACGTTGTCGTTGTAGGTGCTAAGATGAGGTGAGTCCTGCACCTCAGTTTTGGCGTCAAGTTGTGTGGTCTGGGGCACTGAAGTCGAATTAGCCAAGCAGGGTCAGTGATACAATACATCAGCGTGTAGGGGTAATGGCACGAGGGTAAAAGTGGAACTGACTGATGTTGTCAACAGTGGCTGCGTTGCTGAACTTGCGAAAGATGTTGTACGGCTTTCGATGATCTTCGCGCACCGCACGATGACTGCACTGGGTAAGTCAACATCAGTAATTCATATTTCCTTAGTAATGATGGAATACTTAACACTCCGTATTTCATTGTGTCATATGAAACGCCGCCTGCAAGGCTCAACACCTTCAATCTGGTGGCTAATTCATCCTCAAGGGCTCGGGCTTCGTTGAGGATATCAGGTGGGATTCGACTGTGCCCCTTTGCTTTGGTGCATTGCAGATAGTGATCAAGCTCCGCTGAACTCCATTCTTCGGCAAGTTCCTTGTAGTTGTAGAGCGTGGGTTTGGTGGCGGGGTTTTGGTGAAGTGGCATCCCATTTTCATCCATCGTATGAGTGGGGTCAGGAACCAGGAGGTCATCTGCTTTGGGTGGCAGTGTGGAGGCCTTCTTGGACTTTCTTCGTCTCGGACGTTTCCGCTGGGTACCTGGACTGGAGGATGTTTGGCCCATTAGCAACAGTTACAGAAAGGGGACGCCCAAGAAAACTATGAAAAATTTACCTATACTGTCTGATGAGTGTTCAGACTCAGATGCTGCTGAATCTGATTGTTCTGCGTCATCTAACGGTCATGAAATTAGTTAGTGAGGAGGTAGTGTAAATAAAAAGGAGGTATGCAACTATTATAGGTATAGGACATACCTAATGCCAGCTCGGCTGCAGTTAGCTCAGTTAGTCTGCGGTTGCTTTGGCGGGTTCGACGGGTGGTAGAACCAGGGCGGGTGGTGGGAGGTACACGTGTTTTTGGGGGCGCCATCTGATGAGAGTCAAAACCTGTTGGGCAAGGAGGAGGTAAAAAATAACCGTGTAGGATTTGGTGAAGGCTTTGCTATTCGCAAATGTTGGAAGAAGATGAATTAGGTTCAATGAATGACTGTGGACACGATGATAGACAGAAAAGTCTAATTGAGACGGTTGGGGTCAATAGGGTGGGAGTGTGGAGAGGTGTATGTGTTGTAATTATCATTGTGGTGTAGGTCAAAACTTGTGCGCTAGTGGTTTTTGGTTTTTAGTAGGGTGTGGCCTGGTGTGGCGACATTCGATTGTGTATAGAACCTTCTATAGGGTGGTGTATGTAAATATGACTAAGTAATATCACTTGGTTTTTCTTTTCTCATGTTTAAGGGTGTTGTCATTTGTGACATGAAACATTTGTCAATGCGAGATTTCAAGGGTGGTGGAGATGGGTTGAGGTGGCATGTTGATTGACATGGTGGTTTTTTAGGGGTGTATACTAGTGTGGTAGGGTTGGGGTTAGACTTGTGAGATATGTATGTACTAAAGCCTTTACGAGGTTGATTTGAGGTCATGACCTGTATTGGTCCTTCTTAAACCAAGCCACAGACGCTTGTGTTTTAGAAATTGACACCATATCCACCCTTCGTATGAAGCCCCTTAATTCATAGAGAAGTCCTTATTTCAGATATCGATCTCCAGACTACACAATGCATCATTTTGAAGAGATAACAGTGATTCATGTTTTTGGCGGAAATGGTATTGTATCGTTTGTTTGCTATTTTCAATTTTGTTCGGTCTCTTTCAAACGAAACCATTGAAATCGGGATTCTGTCGGTTTAGAAGTGTGGTGTACCACAGTGATGTTGGTGTGTTGTATTTGTACCGTAATTGTATCCTTAGACTGTCAGCAGCAGCATTTGGTAGGTCTTAATGAAGAGATCCATTTAACAAAATTGAGGTGTTGTGTTGTGGAGAGGTCGATAACTTGTGAAGTTCATAAAATGAGTTCATCTCAAATGACCGAGTCTGCTGTTTGTGACTTAGTGAGAAGAAGAGGTATACATTGAGTTTTAAAGAACTATTTGAATCGTTGTGGTGAAATCAAGTGGGAATGAGGGTAATGAGGGTGTGAGTTAGACGGTTATGATGTTGAAGAAGGGATCGTGAGGTGGTTGTTTTGGGCTCTAACAGTTGTGAGTGTACATTGTGGAGCGGTGTAACTACCCCATAGAGTAGGTTTTGGGCAGACTGGTGGGGACGGTACCGAGGTGGTGGGAAGACGTAGTGAAGGGGTAAGAGTGGTGGGCCTTGAAAGCTAGGTGTGCGAGTCTGTGTAGGGTGGTGGAGTCCTGGTGGGCTGGTGGGGTTTGTGTGTAGGGGCGGTGGAGTTAATGCGTGGTGTACAAGATTAAAGTGAAGTGTGGTGTGGTTTAGGGCTGATAAGGTGGGAGTTTTTGTAAACTGGTGTGATGTTACAACACAGGTGTGGTGTGTTTTT